AATAGCAGTTCTCTTAATTATGACTTTTACCTTTTATTGAACACATGTATGCATTTTTGGGTGGTTATTGACATTTAATCTTTTTTCCTTTATCCACAATGACAGGTTCTTTTTGGTTGCAATGGATGCGTTTAATCCGATTGACGTAAACCCGTTCGATAGTTGGGGACCGTTTTTGGTTGAAACCGGATACACATATTTCCCAGCAAGTCCAATGTTTTCACCTTTTGAGATGATTCAACCATTTGAAGTATTCGATGAATATTATGTCAATGATGTGACATACAATACAACACCACCTCTTCCTCTCGGGGTCGAGCCACTTGGAGCCATCATGCCATTCACTCCATCCGATGAATATGTCATGAATGATGATGCCACCCTCAGCGCAACGCCACCTCTTCCTCTCGTGGTTGAACCACTTCAAGCCATCGTGCCATCCACTGCATCCGATGAATCTGTGATGAATGATGTTGAAAACAACATGAGAACAACACCTCTCCCTTTGGTGGTGGAGCCACTTGGAGCCATTCAACCATTTACAATATCCGAGGAAGACTTCAATGATGAAACCAGCAACTCAGCTACACCTCCTATTCCTCTGGACTCACATACGGGAGCTATTATACTATATGTTGGCTCCAACAACAACTCTTACGTTCCTGCTGTTAATGCTAATCCTAGTCCTGTTCAAGAGATCAAAAGAAGACGGGGCCGACCAAAAGGCTCAAAGAATAAAAGAAAACCTCATGTTCCTCCATTGGAAGCTCAAGTTGGAGAAATGGTATCATATATTGGTTCCAACGCCAACACTCCGGTTGCTGCTAATGCTGATGCTGATCCTACTACTGTTCCGGTGCTCGAAAAAAAACGTGGCCGACCAAAGGGTTCGCCAAACCCAAAGACCAGCAACAAGAAGCCGAAAACTGATGATCCCGCCAGGAGATTCGTTAAATCATGTCCGAATTTAAACTCGGAGATAACTGACGCGGAGAGAGCAAACGGAAACAAGGAGCTTGTCGATTCGGTCTTAATGCGGTTCGATGCGGTTAGACGTCGGTCCAGCCAACTAGGGGACGTGAAATGCTCGGCCCTCAATGCATACACTATTTGCAACAGGTTAGGAGTTAGGACCAATAAGAAGAGAAGAATCGGTCCGGTCCCTGGAGTAGAAGTAGGGGACATATTCTACGGCTGGGGAGAGATGAATTTGGTCGGGCTTCACTTAGCGACGGTTGCGGGGATCGACTATCTAACCAAGAAAGACGCTGCACCAGAAGGTGGTGTAGCTACAAGCGTAGTAAGCTCAGGTCGTTACGATGATGAAACAGAGGACGTTAATTGCTTGGTGTACACCGGACACGGTGGAGCGGATAAGAAAGGTGTTCCTAATTGCGATCAGAAGCTCGAAAGAGGAAACCTTGCGATGAAAACAAGTCATGAAAAAGGTAATGATGTAAGGGTTATCAGAGGCGTTCCAGATCCACGCAACCCGGGGAAAAAGATCTTCATTTACGATGGTCTATACAAGGTTGTTGGATTTGATAAAGTGAAGAATCACCATGGTTTTGCTCAGTTCAAGTTCACACTTCTGAGAAAACAAACGATTTGATAAAAGTCTATCGTTTCTTGTTTCTTCCCTTTTATTATTGTTGTTGTCGTCGTCGTTTAAGACTTTTTTTTTTAAATCGTTGTTGTTGGCTTTTTTCTCTTTCTTTTTTTTTATGTTTAAGACTTTTTTTTCTTTCTAGGTTTCTTTTGTTTGGTCTGTATTTCCTTTTTCAGGCCCCAAACTAATCCAGTAGATCTTTTTATTATTATTATTAAAGAAAAAAAAAATCTTAGGAAAAAACAGAAAAAGACACTG